AGCTGGCATTAATCCACCCTTACATCGACTTCTTGTTTGGAAAACGTGTAGCGGAAGTCAATTAGGTCGGTGCGAAACATGTAAGAGGTAACAAAGACCTTAGGGACTGGCCAGTGAATAGCCAAGTAAACCATAAGCCGAACACAGGCGTTCTTAATTCGGTACCGCACAGTGATCTAAAACTCTTGTTAAGGCCCGACATAAACATGAACTAGAGCCAAAATAAGGACAGCAAATTAATGAGCACAAATCAGATTCTTAGGTTGGATAATAAATTTCGCACATTTGAAGAACGTCTACAGCGGAGGGACTACTAATCCACGAAAATGCGAATAGGCATACGGTGTAGGAAACCTGAACTTCTCGTTCATTAGCCGATGAAAGATCAGCCTCAAGGTCGACAAAATTAAAATAATTGTGTATGAACAAGTGACAATGTTTTACGCACAACAGCGCTGAGGATTTAGATCTTACACGTCTCAAAATTTATCAGCAGAAAGTGGCAAATCTAATTGCACCCTAGGAACGGATGCTATTTAGAAGGGGTTCGGAACTCACTGAATGCGTTCTGACTCAGCTGCACAAATTGCCTCCCCCAAGGTACAGATTTCTTCCATCACCTCTGTTTCAGTCCCATCAGATGACGTCGACTGAGTTCTAGCAGCTGCAACAGCTTCGTTCATTTTCTCGAGAAAAACAGGCAAGCAGGTAGGACAAGATGTCTCCTTTCCGTGGTCTGCGTGAACAACAGACTCCTCCTGCTCTAACACTTTAAGCTCCGACTCTGGGAGTGAGGAGCCATGGATCCATACAAAGACAGTGCGGTAGAGAGAAAGGCGACGCACGTGTTCGTCGGCGTAGAAGACAGACCGAAGAGCTGTGGTTTTGTTTGCATAGCGTGTGGTGCGGGCGAAGAGATTGGTCAGTAAGGAGCCTGCAACGCCTGCCAGCGCTCTGACACGGGGTGGCTGCATGCTCATGGCGCAGTACTCGGCAGACTGCACAAGACGGTCAGTAGACAACAGTGAGTGCTGTAGATCC